CGAGTTGTGTCAACGAACTTTTGGAAGCAGGGCGACGGGCTATGTTCGGTCTTAGTAATCGGTTGGATGAGAACAGGGTGTGGGCTCCTGCCGTTCGGCTTCAAGCGTTCGACACCCAGGTCCGTTCGGTTCTCTGTTATGGTGCTGAGGTCTGGGGTCCTGATAGGATTGTCTCCGTCCTGCGGTTAGGTAAAGGGTGTTTTACCCCGCATGGTAAGTCATATTTTGATTCGGCTTTGGAAGATGGTATGGTCCAGGTCCAGCGTGACTTCTGTTTACGTTGTGCTGGGCTCAAGCAGGTACCTTACAAGCTGTTGTACAGGGAGCTGTCTCAGTTGCCTTTGCAGTACTTTTGGTTACGCCTTGCGTTGTGTTTCTGGAATAAGATAGTCAAGTCCCGTGGGTCGGTCTATCATGACGTGTTAGTAGATGATCTCCGTCTGGCTCTTCTGTCTGATCTCAAAGTGGATTGCTGGTCGTCTAAAGTGCTCATCATTTTGCGTTGGTTGGGCCATGAGTGGCCGGCGTGTGACTCCGTTTCTCAGAAGGTAGATGTATACTCGTCTCAGTTGATTCGAGTGGGTGAGGTTCTGGAGAGGTTATCTGCGTTCCTTTTAAGTGACTGGGATCAGTTCAGCCAAGGGGGTGATCCGCGTGTGTTCCAAGGTAAAGGGGTTTCGCTTTGCAGGTATCATAACTGGATGGGCTCCCCTTCACCAGCAAGAGAGGGCTCCGATCCCACAGGCTATTTGCGTGTTTATTTGCCGGTCAACCAGTTGCGTATGGTTGCCAAATTCCGTCTTTGTTGTTGGCCTTTGGAGGTCAACAAAGGACACCATAGGCCGAGAGAGTGCCGTACGTGTCAGGTCTGTACGTCGGGTAAGGTTGAGGATGAATATCATGTGCTTATGGAGTGTGAGGCGTACACTGAGTTGCGTAATAGGTTTCTGATTAACGTTGAAGATACTGATATGCGCAAGGTATTTCTTAATACCAATCCGAGGAAAATCGCTACTTTCCTTACTGAGGTTTTTGATGAGCGTCAACAGCGTGCTCTGGAGCCTCACGGCTCGTGAGGGCACCCGCCGCGTCGGCGGCGGAAATACTGTAACCACAATACAATACAACGTTTATCCCGAGTTCAGCGAATTGCAAGCTTATGCAGTTGGCGGCTAACAGAGCACACAAGGGATGGCGTTATATACCTAGGGAGGAGCGAGTATGCCCCTGCTGCGGCACTGATAGCCATATTGAAGGTGAGAAGCACATTTTGCTGGACTGGATGGTGCTCTCATGCGATCGGGCAGCCCTTGCGCCCTGGGATCGTATTGGGCGTTTTGCAGGTACGGGGAACGCACCCCACGACCACGTATCAGACACACACACACACATAAAATGCAAAATCACGGACACACATACGCACTGTTGTATCACGTCTTTTGCAGAAAAGAACCGATCGGCGGATGTCAGATTCCGTGATACCCAGGATACTACACGCACGGTGTGTGTGTGTGTGTGTGTGTGTGTGTGGATGGGCCATTCGTTTTACCTCAGCCTGCCAACGTCAGCAGCTTTACTTATGTGGCATGAAACCCGCCTTGCATTAACAACAACACGCCTCGCCGACGCAATCAGCACAACTTTCACCCATCCAGCCACCTGCAGGTCGCTGCTGCTGCCACTGCAGCGAGCTACAAAAAGCAAGGTGCGTGCTTGACTAAATCTATATCGAACTCCTCATAATAATTGCAGTCAATCGCACGTTTATCTGTCCATGCATCCATGTGGCAAATCATACAACATATCAACTGTGTACACTCATACAGGGCACATATCTGCAGCAGCAGCAGCAGCAGACATCCAAAAGGAAGGGAAGGAAGGATGGACTAAACCCTAAGTTATACAGCAATGGCTGCAGTGCCACGCACCTGCAGTAGTAAAAGCAACAAACCCAACAAACAACTGCAAATAGATCTGCTACCCTGAAGTGCACACCAAACTCACCACGTTAACGTTGCCTGTTAATCCCTAGCATGGGACATGGCCCAGCTGTCAATCTATCCAAGCCAATCCCTCTACTGCAACCCAAACCAACCAGATCAAATCTGAGCAGCACACATACAAGCCAGGGAAACCGGTGCTGAGTGCAGTGCTGCTGTTGGCTATATCGGGATTGATGCAATGGCTGCCGGCAGCAGTGGCGGCACCACTGCAAGTGCCGAGGACGGCATGGCTGCAGCCACCATCCCCCGCCCAAGCCGCACCGTACAAGCCAGTAAGGCGCCGCCCTTGTATTTCACCGTGTGCAGGCCATTGCCCCCATAGCAGCGGCCGTATCACCGCAGTGGTACCAGCTGCGGCAGTTGCTGCTCCAGAGCCACACCTTCCAACAGTGGCAATGGCACTTCCTGCTGCAGCTGCGATGGCCTTGGCAACAACTGCTCCGTACAGAATGGTAACTGCGGCATCGAGGATGGCAGTAGCGGGGGCAGTAGTGGTGGCGGCAGGCCAGAGCTGTCATCCGATTCCAGTGACCGCAGTTGTGCATTCTCTGCCTCCATCCCCACCGTAATCTCCACCGCCGCCAAGCTGACCGCACCAGCGTTGTTGCAACCCAAGCGTTCCAGAGCTTGATGTTGTGGCTGTAGCTGCTGCCCCTGCTGCTGTTGCTGTTGGCTGCAGCTCGAAACGTGTGGATGCTACCGTGTCGTCCTCTGCACAGCATAATGTATGCAGCTGCGGCTGCGGCAGCGGCTGCAGGTGCTGCATCGGTGCCTGCCGACTGCTGTGAGCAGGGCACTGCTGCAGCCGGCCAGAAGGTGATGGGACCTGCAGCAGCGGCTGTAGCGCCAGCTGATAGCGGCGGCTGTGGCTCTGGGTCTTGGCCTTGAGTCGCGCCTGTTGCTGCTGCTGCTTCGGTTGCGCACACAAACAGCAGCCCTTGGCCAGTATCAAGCCCGGCAAGATATGATATATGGAATGGAACCAATAAATGCGAACTCCGATTTCCCGTACCGCTTCTCACTCCTAACTCTTAGCCGTCCTTCGTGGTCGAGGCCCTCTCCTCCCACGGCCTTGCAACCCAACACTTCCGCAGAAAAGGTAAGGCCCTTAAGCTGTCACCCAATCAGCTCGACAACAACGAATGCGGCGAGGCGCCCAACCCGAGCGCTCGCAGTGCCAAGCGGGCTCCACAAACAGTGCCAGAACTATCTATGCATGTGCATGAAGAGTGCGCACATGAACGAAAACGCGCCAACGCAGTGTGTGCCTCTTGGTCTATGAGGGGAGTTGTAACTTATGGGGGGGGGTCTGGGAGGGGCGTAGCCCCCCCCAGCGCCCCACACTTAAGGAATACATTACGGCGACGCTAGCAACTTTGTTACTTAGGTCGGAATAAATTGAGACCCCCCCTAAATGAAAAAATCACTGGGTAAGGGACAGCTGTTACAGTCTCACTCACACATACAAACTCACACCTGGATATCAGTCACTAGAAGGCTGCTGTCCGGTCCTACGCCGGGGGCCCAGTGCGAGCCAGCAGCACCTCCCGCCGCAACCGCCGCCAGCGGAGGACAACCAAGAGCACCGCCGCCGCCGCCACCAGCACCGCCGCCGCCGGGACAAGCGCCGCCAGCAGCCGTACGGTTCCGGAAGATAAATATTTCCCCTGTCAGTCGTACGTATATGTAGTCCGTCGTAGGTATATGTAGTCCGCAGCTGCGGACTACATCCAGCAGGGAACAGGAACCGTAATATTGAGAAACTGAACCCACTAACCAACTAGTCAATGACAAACCACCTTGCCCGGAAAGACTAACCTCAAAACCACATCCCCCACACACGTTGGCAGTTGGGGGCAGTAATGGCGGCGGCGGTAATGGAGGTGGTGTGTAGTGCACAGATCGCTGGTACAGCGCCATCAACCTCTCCTTGCCACCCGTGTTACCCCCCCTCCCCGCCATTCCCTGGGTGTTTTTTGTAATTGGGGTAGTTGAGGACCGTTGCAAATCGTTGTAATTGGATACAGTTATAAACAACTATAAGCAGTTTGGCGGGGGCGCGTGAGAACAGTCATTAAAAGGAGATGAGTGAGTTGTGGAGAGTGGTTGAGCACAGGGGGTTGTGTACGCATGCCGTGGGGGTCCTGGAGATTAGCTGTTGAGGGGGCACACCGGGGGGAAGCTTTCCTGCGTTGCTGACATATAACATATCTTGCAGTAAGGATGTGAGAGCTGTGAGTCTTTTGATGGGCAACCCTGCGGAATGCAGTGCTTTACCGTACTGAAATGCGGGTTGATCGGGAAAAGGGCTGCAAGCATTGCGAGAAGCTTAGGTTATATGTGAGCGCAGGCATGTTGTTGGATTTTTAGGTTGTGCTCCTTCCCTCTGTTTGCTGAATTGCGCATTTTTAGGAGATGGATGGCGGAGAATGTAGGAACACGGGCGCTCTACGGTCAACCACTTATTAGACTTTGGATGATAAAAGGAATGCTGATACTTTTCGTAACTCCCACGTTTAATTTATTCGTCGTGTCCTTGGAGTGGATTCCTTAGCTGGAATTGTACGGATGTAACCGTTTTGCGCCCTTAGAAGCTGCGTTACCATTTCCAATTGCCGTCGAGAACTCTGCGAGCCCTGGTTACACTCTAACTTATGTACTATGTTTGAGCATATTTCCTATTGAATAACTTTTCCAAGACGAACAAGGCTTGCAGACAGACTTCTCGACCCCAAAATATTACATATTAAATAGTTTATGCGCCACAATTAATTACGACTGTAGAGCTTTGGAACGCCTGGGACAGTGCGGTTGACGACGTAAACTCCAGACGAGCATCCCTTCGTGAACGACAAGCGGAAATGAGCAGTGGGCAAAAGGTCAGGGAGCAATACAGTTATTGATGAAATTTGGGCATGACAGAGTTCAGGGTCACTAACGCAACCACGTGCTCACCTCTAGGGTGTCATGCTGTGCGAACGGCCAGCACCGTCCCAAATGGACACCGGGCCTGCACCAAAACCATTTCTACCAGCGTCAGGGACAACCTGCATGGATCGTCTGGGCCTGGTGCCAACGCAAAAGGTAAGCCTTCGCCATCTCAGGGATTAATCGACACCCCATCCCCACGCCAATACCCTTCCGCCCACGCACAAAGCTTCCCCGTGGTACAAGCTTAATGTAATCTGATCAGCAATTATGAAATCACGCGGAAACGTACGAGCGCACCCCGAGGGCGCTCGGTCTGACCTGATGTCCGGGGCGCACGCAGCGATATCCCTCACAGGCTTGGCCTCGCCCGCCGAAGGCGGCTCTACCGAAACCTTGTTGCCTTGGTAGCATGTATCCTTGCTCTTCCTGCAGATGGGTATCTTCTAAGGGAAAGCCCTGGTCCTTAGCCCCTGACTCCGTGGAATGGCGCCAGGAATGTCGCCAGCAGATGCTTAGCAGCCCAAAGGCAAAGACAGACAGCACTGCAGAGCCGTTGTAGGGGAGGGGGAGGGACTCGGAAGGGCAGCAGCAACAAAAGGACACCTCTCTCCCTTAGCGGGCTGCCAGCGCGTTGGGCATTGCTCCCCTAGGTCCCTCGGCAGCAAATGGCCCGAAGGGCACCACCGACGGCGGATCTGTGGCCATCGGCCGGCTCATGCACCCCCTCTCGTGCTAAAGAGTGGGTAATAACCCAAAGAGGGGAAAGGGTCCACGCGCTCCCGTCTGGCCCGGGTGTGAGGGCAGCGGATGAGGGGCACTCTTAACCCGCACTCTTAGCCGTGGCAGGGCCAAGGCCAAGGCCAACAGGCCTGGTCAGTACACCATATGGGGGGAGGTGGGCCTCGCCTCCGACATCCGCGGCCAGTGGGCTGGCAACGCGTGTCCCGATGGGGCCCGCTGTGATGGGGGCTAAGAGGGGAGCCCGGGCTGAGAAGATTTTTGCTGGAGGACACAGCTGGGTTAGGCGGCACGTTGGCCGTCCGGGAGTTGGGGTGGGGTGGAGGGTGGGGTGGGGTGGAGGGTGGGGAGGGGGTATTCATAAACCACCGGAAGGAAGGAAGTCCGGTTACCTCGTGCCATCTCGCGCTTGGTGTGTGAGGTTGGGTGGGTGGGATCGGGTGCCGACATACAGACGTACTTGTTGGATAATGACAAACATGCATTTACCCGTCCGCTGTGCATATACTGCGGGTGCAGACCTTCCCCCCGAGCCTGGCGCCCAAGCCAGCCAACATCAATGCCAAGAGTATCGCCGCGGTCAGGGGCCTGGAGGAGGATATCCGGCTGGCGGCGCTAGCGGAGGCGGAGAGGAAGGTGGCGGAGGCGGTGAAGGCGGAAAACGTGACGGCGTTTGGGTGAGCGGTTGGGCGGTTGGGTTGTTGGGCGGTTGGATGGCGAGGAGTGGGATCAGTGGAGTCGCAGCAGTAGCAGTCGTAGCAGTAGCAGTTGTAGCCATTGTGTTCTTATTGCGCCGTATGAGGAGGATCCACATGCAGCTCAGCGCCATAACTACCTACCTACCAACACTACGTGACGAAATTCCATATCCAATCCAATTATCTTGTGGTCGAGGTATACCGGGTTTTTCTAACGGTTTGTAACTCCATTTCGCACCTCCCAACCGAGCTACCGTCGAACCACTACTTTACCCCAACATAGGGCCCAGCTGCGCACCGCCATTCTGGCGGGTGATGACGTCAGCTTTTGGAGAGCCGCCAGGCACGCCGATGACGTCAAGCAATCCGTGGAGGTATCAAAGGCGCGTGCGGCCGCCGCCGCCGCGGCCGCGAGCCCCATGGTCGCCGCCGCCGCCGTTGCCCGTAGCGGTGACGGTAGTGGCGGCGGGGACGCTGCTGCCGACGGGACGAGCAAGGCGTCCATGCTGTCGTTCGTGGACGATCTTTTGAAGGAAGCGACGCTGACGTTGGAATCCCCGTCGGGGCGAACAGACGGTACGAAAGACGCGAGCACCAGCGGCGGCGGCTCCGCCACCGTTGCCGCCGCCGCGGCGGCGGCGTCATCAACGCCACGCACCGCCGCTGGCGGCGGGCGCAAGGGGCATGGCGGCGGCGGCGGCGGCGGCAGCGCAAACAAGCCGGCATGGGCGTTGACGGAGGAGGAGGTGTCGAAGCTGGAGGACGCGGAGGAGGAGGAGCTTCTGAAGTTTGCAGATGACCTAGACTTTGAAGCCTTCATGGCGGCTTTAGATGATCCAGAGCTGCAGGTGGGTTCAGACAGTTTTAGGATACCTCTAGGGCGGCTTTGTCTGTCTGTCTGCCTGTGTGTCTGTCCTCCCACCTCGACCCGTTCCGTACACACATTCCGTACACGCGCGCCTCAGACGCTGTCCTTGCACGTTTTCCTGACGCGAATCACATACAAATACGTACAGACACACATACATACATACACACGCACGTGCGTGCAGGAATGTGTCAAGGCGAGCAGCAGCGAGGGGGGCAAGGCACCGGCTCCAGGGGAGGAGAAGGCCTGGCGCAGGAACCTGGTCAAGGCTATGAACCATGTGGCCATGAAGCGGGTGGCAGCGGCACGGCGAGCCGGGCGAGACGGCGATGATGAGGACAGCGGCTCGGTTGCGGTGGGCTCGGACGGCATCACGACAGCTCTCAGCAAGTGGGTCGGTGTGCGTGTGTGTGTGTGTGTACGCGTGCGTGTGTATGCGTACGTAGGTTGGGGCCGAACCAGGATTTGAAAAAGCGTGGAGGGGATTGGAGGCCAAAAGCCGCGGAAGCACCAGGCAGTAGCGCAGGTACCAGTAACGGTCAGCGTTTTAGGGCTCTCCGGGCCCACCCAAGCACACGGAGTACTTCCACCTTTCTTTGCGTAAATTTGGTAACTAACTAAGAGCCCGAGAGACACGCGCACGTGGGTTCAGGTAGCCGTCACCAACCGATACCCCCCTTCACTCCCCCTCAGGTATGGCCCCCAAAACACATTTAAGCTCTTACCACCCTCGTGCCCCTCCCCCGTCCCCCCCCACCCCCCGCGGCACATAATTGGATCCCTCAGGGCCACCGCTGTCAGCAGGATGAAGTCCGAGGCGGCCGCGGCGAAGCGCGCAGCTCTATCGGAAGCCAAGGGCGAGGGGGCGGCCGGGGGCGGCTGGGATGCCTCCACGCGCGCCTCGGACGACGTAGGTCGGATGGAGCGGGCAAAGGCCGCCACGGTGGAGGCCTTTGAATTCCTGAGGGAAAACCCGGAGCTCCGTGCCGTACATTCTCCCGCCAGTGTACGAGCTATGATTACTAAGGCCGATACGGTTGTGGGAGCAGTGGGAAAGGCGGTGAGCTGAGTTTGTCGGTGCTTTTTTGAAAGTTCGGCTTAGGTGGGAGCTTAGCTTGGGGACCAGTGGTTTGACGAACGGGGAGTTCGGGCTCGGAGTAACAGTGGGAGGGGGGAAGAGGGGTGAGGGGTGAGGGGTGGGACGGGGAACAATGGGCAGCACTGTTGGGAGAGAGGGGGAAGGGTTTATTGCACATTCATGACTGAGATGCGCAGTGAGGGGTCCATTAACAGCTCACAGGACGGGACTGAACGACAGAAGGAGACTAGACACCTTTCATTCGTGCGCCGTTCACCGTTGCAGTTGCAGTTGGTAGGTTTGGTTGGGGGTTGTATGTGTGATCAGTTAGGTGGTTGGGGGCGTTAAATTGCAGAGGCATGTTGGGCACAGTCCACCCCTGCGTTTCACCCGCTGCCGCTGCTGTTGCTGCTGCTGCTGCTGCTGCTGATGATGATGATGATGATGATGATGGGGATGATGTCACTTAGACTGCTTGGCCCACATCCCATCCCGGTGTGGAGATGGAAAGCGCTCTTTTGTGCGCGTGTGAGTGTATCTGTCTGTCTGTCTGTCTGTCTGTCTGTCTGTGTACACATGCCGATGCGGATGATGTGGAGCTTCATCACACATGTGTCTTCTGTCTGTGTTCCGTGCCTGTTGACGTTCAGCTCCTTATCTTTACGAGTGGGTATAGCGGTCTTAGGGCTGTCTGTGTTCGTACGGGTGCTAGCGGAGTGCGTGGGGTGCGAGAACTGAATATGCGCGTGTGCACGTGTGTGTGTGTGTGTGTGTGTGTGTGTGTGTGTGTGTGTGTGTCTCTACATCGCCCGTGCATTGAGAAATATCAGCAAAAAAAACAATGAATTCTCGGACGTTTTGCAGCCGAAAACAAAATGGCTTTTTTGCAGTATGAATCAGCTTACTGCCCCACACCCGGATATGCCCTAGGAGGGCAGGACTGAAAAATGAGCGCCTTTCCACCTCCACCTCCACCTCCACCTCCAGCGCGCGTACACTTGAAAGATTACATTGGTATGCGCGCTTGCCACGGCCTTTGTATCTGTCTGGTCAGCAACCATGTGCACAATCTCACCACAGGCGACGGCTGCTTTGCTAATCTCGCCACTTGTTCACATGCAGCCAGTGCGACCAACACGCACGCACCTGCCCACCCACCCAACCCACATTCCCATTCCCTAGTCTTGTGCCAACAACCATAACCATCTGTACAAGTCATCGCCACCGTGTCGTTGTCAGTGTCGTAATGTTCTCGTCACACAACTGGCAAGCCACAACAGCCATTCCACACGGTCTGATGCACATCATCAGCGGCAGGGCCCATATCGGCAAATGGCGTGTTTAGGCAAATGCACCCCCACGACATACGTATCCGCACCTCAACCAAGTACGAAACCCGCCGGCAGGTTGCGAGTGCTAAAGCAACTGCAAAATGTGCACACAGCTGCGACAGCTGGCTATCCTGTCACATCAATGTAGACACCACAATTGTATAATGCTGGAAAGGCCGACAACAACATACATGCAACACTCGCAGATGCTCTGAACCTACATCCCACGTCCGCAAAGCAGAAGGCAACTAGAAGGCAACCCACGTCATACCTGATGTGGACGCCCCGTCCTTTCGACCCTCGCCCTGGAAAATTAGGAGCCTAACACGTATAGCGTACTGGCGATATACGTGTTTTGTCTTGCTGTCGTACTGGAACTCTACTCCGGTTCGTCCTCCATGCTGCCACCACTAACTACGAAAGGAGCATCTGACGCGAAGCACAACTGTACCGCTCTTTTAATTGAATTCCAGAGTTCCTTTTCCTTGACATCTTAGCTACCTATTGTTCAGGAAGCCCTCCGTGCAAATTATGAATGGAAGGATCAGTTTTCCTTCCTAGGAAGAGATTATGGATCTGACTTGTAGATTTGACGTGATACTATAGCATAACGGTTGGTCCAATTTTGCCGGTCCCATTTCCGATTGACAGCCCGATGACAACAACACTTTTTCAATCGTCACAATGCAACCCCAACAATCATAGCGGCTAAACAACCGTCATGAAACTTTTGCTAAAACTCTTATCCTAGTCGCCGTTTTGAACAGATTTGAACGCGTCTCAGACTCGCAAACACTTTCCTACGTCCTTGACCGCCGGCTTCTCCCGTTAGCTCTCCCCTAACCACCACCATCATGTCCTAATCTGGCCGCACCTGGCAAAATCTGTTTTCTGACAGCCGTCAAATCTTTTGGCTGAACCTGTCGACACCTCGCCAAGCGCACACAGCTATAATAATGCGTATCGGTCCTCAGGTAAACCTCGTCCTTTACCGCTAAGGTAATAAAAACCCTCGCGCATGCTCCCAAGGTAACGTTAGGCCGCCCTCTTAATTGCCTATTCCGTTCCGTGGTACGCGCACCGCATAGTAGCGTATTGCCTGATCAGGCATCCCCTCCTCCCCCCCACCACATGGCAAGGACCGCCAAAACAACTGCTCCAGCCTCGGTGGTACGAGTCTCCAACCGCCCCCAAAAAACAAATCTCCATCTTGACTCTTAAAACTGTCGCTCGACGCGGTTCCACTGCCATAGACAGCCAAACAGAGCGCCAACAACAGCACCGCGCACTCATGGGGTCCGCCCGACTCACGCACTTTCCGTACTGTCGTACAGCCGTACGCACAGCTCAGCCGTACTCACGCGCGCTCCTTCGTATTTTGCAGACCTTTCAAGCTGACCTAAACAGCGGTATAACACCTTCCGCAAGGCAAAAAGTGACTAACGGCACCGAGATTCACCACCACCTTATAATTTTCGACATGCGCGACATCTCGTTCCTAGTTCCTCTCGCCGATTTTCCGTGTTCAGTGTTTTTATGTATGTAGGTAGGTAGGTATGCATGCATGTGTGTGTATATAAGTGCTCTGTCGGTGCATCATCCGCATGTACGGAAATGTACGGATCCATTCGGTAAGAAATAACCGGTCTCTGCTGCACGACGTCACAGCTCCCGCTCACCCAGATACACAGTCAAGCGGCTAAGCGGCCCACTGCCCTCGTTGTACGCGTACAGAAGCCGCGTCTGGAAGCTGCCCTCCTCCTCCTCGGCCGCTGTCGCCGACACGGACCCGCGGGTCCCTTCCTCCTTCTCTACCGAACCATGGGTCGGTGCCGATGAACCACCATAGATCGTTCCACAGCCCTCCGGGCCATCCGTCGTTGGGCCAATACGCCCCGAAACCAAGCGGGCGCGGAAGGACGAGAGTCCCCGCAGCAGCAACATCGGCGGCGTCAGGATTGTCACAACCGGCAGTAGCAGCGGCAGCGCGCACAGCAGTAGCAGCAGCAGCAGCAACAGCGTGACGGGACCCGGCCGTTCCTGCCGTGCAGCACTACCTACGCAACCACCCATTGGCACCTCACTCCGGTCCGTCGGACAGCCGCCGCTACTGCCGCCGTCGCCGCTACCGCCGCTGTTACTGCCGCCGTCGCCACCTTGCCTGCTACTGCCATCGAAATGAAGTTTGCCGTCAGTAGCCTTCCAGACAAAAAGCGACCCAGGGAGATTCCGGATGATCTCATCTCGTAACGCTGCCCGAAAGGCTGGGCCCCCTGGCACATGCATCGACACGTAACATTTGCCCGTGCGAGTGGGCCCATTCCCGTCACCCAGAAGACCCGCCAGCAGCATCAATAACTGAACATGCTGACGCGGCGTGGTTGCCGTACAAGTTTGAGTGGTGACGGCGTCTCCAGGCGCCAGTGGGCCCGCGGCGGCGCCGGCGGCGGCGGCGGCGCCCGCTGCCGCCAGCGGCGCACCGGCGACAGGTCCAGCAGCAGCAGCTGCAGCTGGGACATGTTGCTGTACGGCATCTGCAGCTTCCGCCGCTGCCGCAGGCGGCTGATGGGGCTCCGCCGGTGGCCCTTCCGTATCCAACGGTTCATCCAACTTGTCGAGAACCACGCGACGTAACGGTCGCCACAGCGCCAACGTTTCGGCCAGCTTCGGCGCGAAGGCGGGGCGGGCCCCAGCGCCGCCACTGTCGCCGCCGTCCCTATTCACTATCGCAACGCCGCCGCTATCGCCGCTGCCGCTGCCGCCGTCGCCCGTGTTGGCAATGGCCGAGCTTGCTGACGCCACGCCGATTGCTACGGCCATCGCTTCCGTTCCCGAAATGCCGTCACCGCCGCCACCGCCGCCGCCACCGCCAGGTGCGGTCCTGTCCTCTTCAAGCAACAACTCCACACCGTCCTCAATCCACAGCTTCCTAGGCAGGCAATGTGGCGGCGTCGCCTCTGCAATGACACGTAACAGCTTCGGCAGCGTGCTGACCTCTCCGGGGGCCCCGATCGCGGCGGCGGCGCCACCGCCGCCGCCGCCGCCGCCGCCGCCTAAAATCCCACCGACTTGAAATCCCGCCATTTTGCCGTCCTGCCGGAGAACAGAGAGCTCCTCCACGCCAACTGCCCCCGTGACCATGAGTTGCCGGGCGGCGGCGGCAACGCCCTTGGCGCGACCCAGTACGAACAGGAGCCGCATGTACAGCAGCGGCGGCGGCAGCGGTGATGTCGACGGCGGCGAGTGTGATGACGCTGGTGGTTGCCGCCGTGCTGCGGTAGGCCGCCCTGTGCTTGTGTGCGTGCAGGTGCAGGTGGGTGTAGATATGGACGTGGACACGGCGAAGAGCTCGTTTGGTTGTGACGGCGGCTGCAGTAGCGACGGCGGAGGCGGCCGCCGCCGCCCCTGCAGCAGCTGTAGCAACTTCTCCAGCAGGTCATCTGGAGACTGAAAGGACTTGGAGTCCGTCTGCGGTTGGAAAAGCGGTGCCAAGGGATCTTCGCCAGAGTCATATCACTTTTATCGTCACAACTAACTTTACGGTCCCAACGGTCCCAACCGTCCCAGCCACCTCTCCGCAACCCTGACAAGCTTTCATATCTATTCTTGTATGCGCATTTAACAAAAATCCCGAAAAGATGTATTTGCCACAACATATATACTAAAATAATTTCTAGCGTTAACATATGATCATGTAATCTTGCCAACTTCCCTTGGCATGCCGTACCAGGATTAAGGCTAGCCGCACCACGTCCACACGGGCGATGGCGGGCGCCTGTACGGCATCCAGATGATCGGCCAACGGCTTCCAACTGCGGATGAGGTCTGATACTGTTATAAACCGAAGCAGTTGAAGGCGGCCCAACCGAAAATCGTACTGCCATGCCGGCTGGCAGTTGTTGCTGCTGCTGCCGCTACTGCCGTTGCTATTTCTGCCGTCAGCATCGATGTCGCCGATGCCTCCCCCATCCTGACCTTCACACCGCATCCACGTCGCCCGCCGGCCTTCACCTCGTGGCGGCAGCGGCGGCTCCTCCCCCTCCCCCTCCAGCCTCAGCAGCTCCAGGGAACCCGGCAACGCGGCCAGAAGCTCCCGGGAGGGCCGATTTCGGCCGCCGTACAGAACCAGCCGTCGGAGCTGGACGAGCTTCGGCAGAGCCTCCCGTAGACAGCCGCACGAACCTCTGCCGCCTCTGCCGCCGCCGGTACGGGCAGTGACACGGGCCGGTTGCGATGCCAGCGTCAGACACAAACACTGGAGCTGAGTCAGCGAGGCGATTTGCGCCCCAGGGAAGAGGCCGGCGGGCAGCTCCAAGCTGCGGAGGCGGCGGCGTCCAGCGCTGGCGTCGCCGCCGGCCCCGTCATCATCGCCGCCGTCGCCACTGCTGCTACTGCCGCCGCCGTCGTCGCCACAGCGGCCCTGCGGCGGTGCCAACTTAAGCTTCTGGCTGTCCGGAAGCGGAAGTGGCGGAGCCGGCGGTGACGGCGGACCTTTGCACGACAAGGCGGTTATCAGTTGCTGTACGGCACTGACCTCCTCGCCGCCGCCGCTACCCGGGTCGGAGGCGCTTCGCAGGTTCGGCCCTTGGCGCCAACATCCCCGAAAGACCATGATTTCCAAATTAGGAAACAGCTGCCCCAGAGCGGCGGCTGTGGACGGCGACAGTACGGCGGCGGCACCAGCGGACGACAGCGATGATCTTGGCGGCGTCGACGGTGGCTGCGTTGAATTTCTGTACGACAGGGGCGCACTGTGCAACTCCAGGGTGGTGACCTGGGGGTAACTGATTCCGCCACAGCCACCGCCGTCGACAGCCGCCGCCGCCGCCACTACCTCGGCAAAGGGTTGTAGGAGCTGGCTGCCGCCGCCGCCGCCTTCCGCTCGAATCACCAGTGTCGTACAGCTAGGCCAGCTGCGAAGTGCCCGCAGCAGCGGCATGGCACGCGCCGGCCATTGCTCGTGCCACCAGGCCTGCTGCGCCGCCGTCGCCGCTGCCGCTGTCGCCGCCGCCGCCGCTGTTTCACCCTTTCCGCTGTCCATAGCACTGCTGCCATCGCAACCAAGTGCATGCGGCGCCATGCGCAACAACGGCGGCGGCGCGGCGTCCACCCAGACAACGGCCAGGATCTCATCCACGTGGCTTCTTGCCCGTTGGCAAGTCGCCCGGAGGTTGAAAGTCCCGACCTGACCGAGAAGATGAAGCAGTCGGACGCGACTCGCGAGGTCCGTATGGAGTAAGGCCTCCGGGAAGGCAGGCCGCGAAGCGTCCTGATCCTGCGGCTTGGCATCTTCTTCCTCCGGCCTTGATGCCGTCATGCCGACTTGTGTGTTGCTTGCGTTTCTAATGGTTTTTGAATGTTCCGAAAAGGCAGCTTAGGAAAAGATGGATGATCTGCAGAAGAAATGATACGGGGCAAGGCGTTTTCATGTTGATCCCATTTTTTCGACTTTGCAGTATCCTGTTGGCTGCTGTGCATAGGAGGACAAACAAAGAGGGCTGTTATTACGTGATGCAAGCTGTTTGTTTCGGACAGAGAAAGAATAAACTTTGGCAGCAACTTCATCTCATTGCTTAGAAAGGCCGCGAAGTTTGCATTACGTCGCGCAGGAAGGCTGGAAACGGAGGAAAAAGGAAGAGCAGGACCTCTTACTTGGCGCGTTTCCCGCGCGCTCCGCAAAACAGCCCCCGAAACACCAACATCATTTGCAGTTACACAGGTTTACTGCCGCCATGGAAGAAATTGGCATTTTTGCCAATACATAAAAGGGCACATTCGTGTCCTCACCCTGTCAACTTTGTCCTTGATGCGATTGAACACCGTTTGCAATGCACTTCGTGCCTTGCACTGAGAATGAATGACGGTGAAGGCCACTGTTCTACTGATCTTGCTTTTGCTGATGGATAGGCTCCTTGAAGCATACAAAGGAATGCATATCTTCAAGCTACGTTCGTAAATACAGCTGTTTCTTTAATTACTTTGTGACACATTATTAGTACTCTACTCGCCGCCTGTGCGCGTCCCTCAGTTGCCCTGGATCACTCAGAAGAACGGAGTTAATTCATGCGTCATTCTGACCCATGGGTCCTAAACTCAGTTTTACATGAATCAGTTTTACATGAATGAAAATGGCTTGATGAGCCTTCAGAGCCACAATTCTTTATATGAAACGTATAACGAAACAAGTGATATGTTCCTCCTTGGTAGCTGTACAATAAGCAAACAGGCTGATGCTTTTTTTGCCGGCCTCGGACGTTTTGCCCTCTTGTTGTCGTGCCTTAGGTTTTGCAACCTGTAATTTAAGACTTTACAAGGCGACCTGAAACTAGGGTAGCTAAGCAGGAATCTGCTCTTATCGTCACATGGCATCGTTAAGGTTGTGGATACACTTATCCTGCGGTGTCCGCGCACTGTCCCATGTCCATGAGCGTATGGCCGACTGCATCCCGCTGGACAGAGGCTTGTGAGGTTGTTAAATGCTTCGCAGCGCGCTTTCCTTACAGGTCTCCCGAAGTCTCATCTTTGTATGAGGCCCGAAAAGTTCTTCTCGCTGTCTAGACGTTAGCTGCCCTTAGGCTGCCCTAAGCTGTTGTGAGGTGCATGAGCCGGTAAACAAGCAAGAGAGCCGATAGTGGTCATCCTGCAAACAAGTAGATCGTAGATATTTGCAGGAGGTCCAGATTAACGCCTTTTGCATCCCCTGTATGTTTCCCTGCACACGGCCTCATTTGATCACCGCATGGTCTCGTGAAAACAAGCTTTTCTCCTGGAAGAGCCTGGAAGAGGGAAAAACTCCTGGAAGAGCCTGGAAGAGGGAAAAAGAGTGCGTGGCGTCGTCAGCACGAAGGCTGGAAAAGGTGGTCGTATGCTTGGCATGCTATCAGCGCGCGTCTCAAAAGACCTGCACAAACCACTTCATGGCTACCTTGCCTTTTGCAAACGCATTACAGCTGCTGTAACCAAGAGCCAAACAAAATTCGGATCAGAAGGCCTCGTAGGACCGCAATTGTCGTTTTGACTCGATGGTCATCCGCTGATTCAACTCAAATTGTACGATGTCCTCGGCTTTCGGAATCAGTCTTCGATGAGGCAGGCAATAATTTAACCATGTATCTCCTCGGCACCCTTGGCATGTAACCTAGGCGAAAATACGGTGCGTGACAGCGAAGAATATCGCAAATTCCTCCCGTACCTACGAAACGCTTCCCTCACGTAGGATTCGCGGATTCGCGTTTCATCAGCTTCCAGATGTCGATGCAATCTACAAAGCTGCAGCCCAAGCCGCCCCTGCCGCCAGGCGCGGGGGAACGGCGCAGGGTCCGATTCGCCGATGAGATCGACGCCGCCACGCGGCCATCAGCATCATCAACATCGCAATCGCCGTCGCCGCTTCGGCCGCGGCTGCAGCTGCTAGACCTCTTGCGCTTGCTCGATCTCCAGCAAGGGCCGCACGCCGATGCTTTCATTCAGGCGTTGGGACCTAGGCCCACATGCAGCCTGCGGGCGACATGCCGCGAGGCTCGCCAGCACGTAGACAACCTAACGTCAAGCGCCTGGGTAGACGCGCCGCCGCTGCCGCCGCCGCCGGAGGCGGCTGCCGCCATCGCGGCCCTTGCCGCTGCCACTGAAACCCGGCCGCCGCCGCCGCCCAAGGCTGCCGTACTGACGGAGAGGATGCAGAGGCTGAAAGCCCATGCTCGATGGCTCCAGCGTGAAGGTTTTCCAGGCGCCGTGGGTGCCGTACGCGCCACGTTGGCGTTAGAGCGCGACGGAGGGTTTTCAGTCCTGAAGACGCTTCGACGGGAGGAGGAGGAGGCGTACGAGTCGTGGTGCTGGTTGATGCCACGACTGTGGTGGAGGCAGGTATGGCCAGAGTACGGACAGGGACTGCTGCAGTATCTACGGCGCTGCAGCTGCCGTACAAGCCGGCTGACAATCCGGGCAGAAGGCGGCGGTGCCCAGGTGCTAAGGCCCTTCGCGTCAGCGGCTGCGGCCGCGATCAGCGGCGGCGGTGGCGGCGGCGGCGGCGGCGGGCACGGGGCAGCGGCCGCATCCTGTCCGCGTGTCTTTGAGCTAAAGCTGTACGGCACCAGCTACCCGCCATCCCACAGGAATGCTACTGCCATTACTGGTGCCACTGCCGCTGTGAACGGGTTTTACGTGCCGCCTGACATTCCGGCCATTACGCCCGCATATGCCACCGCAATCTGTGGCCTGTTTCCAAACCTGAGGGCGCTTATCCTTCGGGGTAAATGGGCCGTACAGTACGACGAGCCTGGCGCGCCTTGGGAGGATCAAGGGGGCTTTGCCCTTGATAGCATTGGCGGCGGCGGCAGCGGTTCTTTGGAGCTTGCTCAGCAGAAGCAAGAAGGTGATGCCTGGTTAGGCAACCTGTGCCAGCTGAAACACCTCCAACACTTAGAGCTGCCGGCGGTCTTCCTACCTGGAAACGTAAGCACTGACATTTCCGTACTCGCGAGGCTTACTCGTCTAGAGCATCTTCATCTCACACTTCAACGAAGGGCTGATAAGAACGCTAATGATGGCGGCGGTCCGTACTTCAGCCCGTACGGCTGTCTACGGGAGGGTCTGCCGAAGCTCGTCCAGCTCCGACGGCTGGTTCTGTACGGCGGCCCCAAGCGGCCCTCCCGGGAGCTTCTGGCCGCGTTGCCGGGTTCCCTGGAGCTGCTGAGGCTGGAGGGGGAGGGGGAGGAGCCGCCGCTGCCGCCAAGGTGGGGAGGAGAAGCAGCGGTACGGCAGAAACACAGCAGCGGTTGGGAGTACGACTTCGTGTCGCGGCGGCTTCTTCTATACACTTGCCTTTCCCTGCGGTCTTTGTGGGCCAGTTGGCAGCCCCTGGAGGAGATGCTGGCGGCGCGTGCTGCAGCGGCGGCGGCGACGTCGACGGCGATGGAGGTTTCTCCACTAGCGCCGTACCACAAGCCCACGATCATAAGCGTTACATCGTGCGGGCCTTCCGTGGAGGCGGCGGCGCCAGCGGGGCCTGCAGCGACGAAGATGACTGCAGGGCACGGACCCATGGGTCGCTGCCATGTGGCGGAGGTGAGGGTTCTTAGCCTGACTCTGGACAATCCGGACCGAGGACCAGACGGCCTTGAGGCCTTGGTCGAGATGCTGCGGTCGCCGCCGCCGCCGCCGCCGCCGCCGCCATCGCTACCGGAAACTGCCCCAGCGCCACAGGTCGTGGCGGATCAATTGACTGCCCGCCGCACCGTGCTGCACCTGCCAAATGTTCACATAAAAGTAAATGGCGGCGTGTTGGCGGAGGCGTTGCGGCGTCTGGCGAACACGGGAGCCGTACGGATGCAGCTATTGCAGCTGTACGAGAGTCCTGTCGCTACCAGCAGCGCCTCCAGCAGCGCCACTGGTGGCGGCGGCGCTCTTGCGACTGTGATATCATTACTCAAGGGCTTGAGGGAGGACTGGCTGTCAATGATACTGCGCGGCGAGATGCAAGAAGATGATGCCGTGCTGCCGAGGAAGCTGGGTGTACGGCTGTACGAGATGGCGGGCGGGGGTTACACAGCCGCCAAAGCCATCACTACTGCCAGTGTGAAGGCGCAGCTGCACGCCGTACTGGAGAACTGGCCATACCTTGATCAGGTTGTCGTACATTGTACGACGCCGCTTGCGACGTCGGCGCGGCGGCTGCTTGCGGGACCGCCGGCGTCGCCCAGCGAAGCTTCGGTTGCTTCTTTCGGTACGGTTAGTTGATGCCGCCAACCGCTACTGCCGATCGCACAGAACCTCTTCTTTGCCACTGTCGCCTCCGTGGTCCCCACCTGGCTTCGGCAAAGACAATTACAAGTTGAAAGTACATGGCGTCATGTGGGCGGCAATATAGCTGCCGTACTGTCGTGCTGCTCTGCCTTGACGTCAGGTGCAGTGCCGGCACAGCTGGAAGAACATTCAGAATGTTGCGGGATCAAGGCGCAGCAAGGCTCCAGGATTCAAGGTTCTGATTGGAGTGATGATTGGGATGAAGAGGAAAGAGCCTCCTAGCCGCTCCGCCGCGCTGCCGAATAGGCCGCGTGGCTAGGTGTATAGCTTCCACCGGTTTGTTTGCAGCAAACCTGTGACGTATTGGATCAGATGCAATCAAGGCCAGGACCAGGAGCATATCCGTGCAGAATTGTTTTGATTGTGTTTTGTTGATGGTGAAGGTTATAGTAGCTATAGTGTAACGTCAATAGGGGGTCCTTGCTGCGCGTCGGTGTTTGCCGTCCTTGTTAACTATTGCGGTCCTCATCAACCGTTCTAAATTGCGCAACTGAGAAAACGAAGAAGACGAGTTGTTAAGCAGCTACCGGTTCAGGCGAGGACCCCGGGGGGTCAAGGCTACTTGCCGCCCGGCTGATAAGCAAAAGCGGTGAAGGGGAAGGGGGCCCCACAGCGAAACAGAGAGCGACGGCGCAGTATGGTCCGGGTGTACCCTCCCCTGGTGGTAGCCCGACAGACCTGGTGGTTACACACACGGGAATGGTATGACACCAGCCTCATGCACCTCTCATGCACCGCTCATACGGGGCTCGTACGGGGGTCCCTCGATACAGACCAACGTAGATGGTTAATGCTTAAGAGGGCGTTCTTGCAACCTTCATCCACCCACGAACAGCGCCCCTTGCAAAGCCTCATCCGGATGCCCAGGCTGCTGCTGCTGCTGCTGGCTGATCCGCGAGAATCTGGAAAAAGGACACGTCGCTGCCTGTGTCCATTGTAAAAAAGTGAGGTACGCCACATATGGCCATCCATCGTCCGCTCCTCCGAAACCAACTATACAAGCACCGCACGCATATAATCTCTTTTACCCGTAGTTGAATGAAGGGGAGATGTGCCATTATCACGCATAGAGGCATCCGATCCACCATTGCATGTTGAGATTTGTCACCTGATTTGCCTCTTGTGGCCCTATCATTGAATTGCACACCTAGGCCTAACTTTTGACCGATCTAAAGCCGCTTACCTTAACGACTGTGTGCGGTCTACCCGCCGTCGGCTGCTCCGACCGCCCTGGCTAGGTCCCTCCTAACCTCTAGGCCGTGTACACACACGCTACGACGCGCGCGTGTGTTTGTGTGTGTTCGGTGTGTATCGATTGTATTCAAATGACGCATCCGCTCGAGTCGCCCTTCCAACCCCCCCCATACCGGTCGAACAAGGAAGGAACGGGCCCATCAGGTTTTCCTGTACGGTCGTACGGTCGTACAGCGGAAAAAACCCAGGCTGACCTTCTATGACGCTAGAGACCGCAAAAGCACGTCGCACTGGCCGCGAGTCCCGTTTTATGATCTTCTACATGCATTACCAGTTAGCGATGCGCGCTCCAAAAGAGTCACAAAAAAACGGACAACTGTAGATCCGAGGTGTATACGGAAAAAACGAGAACTACAAATTTGAGATAAGACAGGCAAAGAACCGTTACGTACATATATATGCACTTGCGTACTACGCAGTACTACACTGTACTACGTTCGAAAGCACTGTGCCAAAAACTGAAAGTTGGACAAAGACTCCTTGCAGCAAATGCTTGGAAGGAGCAATCCTGCAAGTGCCGCACGAAAAGACCCCGAAAGGCAAAAGTATGGCAGGCAGTAAAGTGGAGGCCCACTGCGAGGTGTGGCGCCTCCGGCTGTATGGGTGTCCTGACAAGTTAACAAATAGAACACATAACCGCCTACACAGACACGGACTGATACTTCCACACAGAAACGGAAAAGTGCTGAAGGAACATATACGTACGGCTACACCCACCGTGGACACAAGGGTTAAAGACCGCAACTAAATCTGCCCTCGGATGGGGACGCATCCAGCCCGGGTGTAGCTACCGCCGCATTTCATCACACATCTCCATGGCTGTCTGGCTGGCTGGCACAATATCTGGCTGAATGCCCGGCCGGCTGCTGAATGGCTGGCCACCATGTTCTTGTCCCTGTACTAAATGTTCCCCCTCCCTATGTACTAAACGTCGGGCGGCGCGAAAGACGCCATGGTGTCGTGACCTCGCTCCCCTTCGCCCCCGCATGACAAGGCAAAATCTTGGATGGGTCATGGGGGCCCCAATCTACACCAAGTTGTGCCCTTTCAGACGCACCATACGCCGCCGGCCAATCTGGCGCAATGATCGACATCACAAATTCTAGCATTAACAACAACGATAACAACAAAAGGACAGCAACCATGGCAACATCATCGAGGGCCGGTGCACCAGAATCTACACTCTCTGTTCTGTTTGGTCCGGTTTGGTCCGGCTTGGTCCGAGCCCCGCTAAAGAGAGATGGGAAGGAGTCCTCGCATGCGCGTCCCGGACTATGCGGGCGCCCATACCTCTCAGGCTGTCTGTCCGCTGTTTCCTAACAGGGTCATGCAGCCCTCCCCAGGGCTCCTAACTTCACTTCACTACACAAAAGCTAACTGAACCTACTCGCCCTCCTCCCCCTTCCGCCCGTCGGCCCTTACTGACTCCTTTTACCCCTTTGCCTTCCGGCTCTGCTTCCACTCCGCAGGCCCTAGCCCCCCAGCCCCCCTCGTCTGGTACACTCTTGCCCTGGCAACAGCTTCACACGTTTGTGGTTCCCCCTTCCCCCCTCAATAACACAGAGGCCAAAGCACATCCCTAGGCCCGCGAACCCAGTACAGCCAACATGCGCTGCAGGCGGGTTTCCAGCCGTACCAACGACTCCGCCTGCCCACCCGGGGGCCTGCTCCCACCTCTCCCCCCGCACTCCACCCCCTCTACCCCCGTCATCCCGTCCTCCAACGAAACCGCTGGCCCCGCTCCGAAACCACCGGCCCGCTGCACCTCCGAACCCCCCTGTGCACTGCGGTCATCATCGCCACCAGCACTATCGCAACGTGCGCCACTGCCGGCAGCAGGACTCATCCCGGCAGAAGCGGGATCGTGCCCATCGGCAGCTGCCGCCGCCGCCGCCGCAATTCGCACTCCCCACAGCTGCTCTAGTAGCCCCAGACCCGCTACACAGCACGCCCGCGCGTAGCCCACCCCGCCCTCCGGCCGCGGCAGCTCATAGAGCGCCGCGAGAGAGCGCTCCAGGGACGGCCAGCTCGCGCGCCAGTTCGCCATCGCCGCTGCTGCTGCTGCTACTTGCCCGGAGGACAACGCCCTTGCTTGGATCGCGTTCGTGCTTGTCCCGGGGTCCTTGTTGGCAACGCACTTCAAGCCGTTTCGCGCCGTGGCCTTCAAGGCAGGCGGCGAAGTGGTCGTCGCAGCTGCAGCGGCGGCAGCCGCCAGAGCGCCACGCAGCGTGGCGGCGAGCAGGTACCAGGCGCCTTGCTGCAGCTGTATGACAGACGATTCCGCGCCATCAGCGGGGCTGTAGCGGCTCTCCTGCAACAGCTCCACCAGGCGGGCCGCGACCGCCGCGGCTTGATCCGGTGTTGAGGCAGCTACCGCATCTTGTACGGCAGGACCGAGATCCACGAGCACCACCAACAGGCCTTCAACCACCTGTGGGCAGCAAACAACCAACCAACCACCGCCACGACCACCACCACCACAAATCGAGCTCAGCAAAGGCCCCAACTCCCTAAAACCCTAGTTTACAGATCAGCAAGCGGTTCGGCACGACAAGACAAAGGAGGCAAAGGGGTTGGAGTTGTATTATTTGAACGTCGGCTCAGCAGCCAGCGCGTACTCGAGGGAGGGAAGATCCATCCGAGAACGCCCAAGACGAGGGGGGTACGACGAACCACTGCCGCAAAAAGCAGATACAAAAGAGATATAAGGACAGATAGTCTAGGAGAAGACAAAGGGTAGTGTGTGTGTATGTGTGTCCTGATGCTGACTTATGCGTCATGTGTTACAGGGTACGGTGTACAGCGAATCAGCGAAGCAGTGTCAACGAATGAGCGCGGGCTCGCCTGTCAGGTAAGGGCGCTGTTACGTGGGGTGCCGCAGTACCGTGGAAGGCGCGAGAGAAGGCAGGCAAAAGCAACACCGTGTAAATTCATCTCTCGTAACCGTCCGCACGTCATATTCCCGTAAACGTGCCGTACCTGCATGCTGTCGTACTGGTACCGCAGGAGGCCCAGCAGCAGCTGCATCAGCCCCGGCCGGAGTCCTCTCGCCGCATGGAGCTGCAGCAGCACCTCCCCGCCGCCCACGCCCACGCCCACGCCGGCTGCCCCGCTGCCGCTGCCGCTGCCGCCTTCACGGTCCTGAGTCTTCTCCGAGCACGGGCCCTTGTTGGCTCCCGGCACGACAAGCGGGCCGCTGGGGCTCACCAGCTCCTAGATGCACACACATACAAGGACATAGATCCACAGGCCGCACAGGAAAGGTAAACTTCAGGTATATAAGGAATGGAAAGTAACTTATATGAGCCTCCTGTAGACCTGCACAGAAAAAATGTGAAATATTTAAAATATATAACATACAAGCGCGCCCTGAGAAGTATAGGAATGTTTCGCGACTTTTGAATCAAAACGGTGTAGGACTGCTAAACAACACAATCCCAAGCCGGTCGGTCGGCCGGCTGGCGACGGCCGACAGAGGGGCAAGGGGTTAAAGGCAGCGGGCGGCGTTGAGCGGGCGGCGGCGGCGGGGGGTGCCACGAGGCCAGTGGAGGCGAAGAGACACAGAGGCGCAGCGTGGCGAGGCAAGGTCGCACCTCGATCAGTCGAAGAGCCGCATCCACCGCCTCGTCGCTCAGCGGCACGGGACCCGCCGTGGCCGCCGCCGCCGTGGTTGCCGCCGCCGCCGCCGCCCCCGAATCCGCTGCAGCATTTGCCGCGGCTGCGGCTGCGGCTGCTGCGTCTTGGCTGGGTGGCGCGCCCCCATCGGTACCACCACCGTCTGTATCCCTACGGGACATGTGGCCCTCGGGCCATGCATCAGTGGCTACTGCCGTGGTGTCGTGAACTGCATCCGGCGGCTGATTGTAACGCCAGTTGCCGTCACTCCTTGGCGTAACCTCTGCTGCCGCCGCTGCCGCCGCCGTTTGCGTCCCAGCCAGCGCCGCCAATCCGCCAATGCACGAGTCCGAAACCCCCCTGTCAGCTGTGGCCGCCGTGGCCAGGGCGACGGCAGCAGCGGCCGCCGGCGGGCCCGCTGGCCTTCCTGCCGTCGCCGCCCCGCTCACTATGGACGGCGTTGAGGCCCCGGTGCGCTGACCATCGCTGCCGACCGCGCTGCCGCCATACACGTCTGTGGCGTCGCCCCCGCCGCCGCCGCCGCCGCCGCCAAGCTCGCTGTATTTTTCTTCCTGGGGACAGAGCAATAGGCAGAGGACAGGAACAGAGACAGCAACACGCCAAAAGCATGTCGGGTTGTAGGTCGGCTGTGGGCATCGTCGAGCGACGGTGCCGCACGACGCGGCTTCTTGCAGTGCAGTGCGGTACGGTACGGCATTAACCGCACGGCGGCTGATCCATCAATCGTACAATCACAGCCCCCCCTCTCCTTCCCCCGTACCCACATCGACACTCTCACTCACCGCCGGCATGCACGCCCTCAACGCCTGCAGCAAAACCTGGTGAAGCAGCTCTATCAAGCCGCACTCCAACAGCACCGAACAGCAGGCGTTGCCCCCAAATCGACCGGCCGCCGGCAGTACGGCTGCAGCGCCGCCGTCCACACCGGCCGCGCCCGTCGTTGCTGCTGTCCTGGCTTCCGCTGGAAACCCAACCTTCTCCACTTCCACTTCCACTTCCGCTGCGGATGCCGATGACGTGGCGTGCAACAGCGCCACAATCACGTCCAGAAACCTGCGGCAAGAGAAAAGGAAAGGAAAGGGTCCAGCTGTGACGGGTTTAGCACTACCCAAGCGATGAGGCGGCGGCTGCAGCGGCAGTGCACGATACATTTTAACAACACATAGCTAAATTCGTAGCAGCTCGGCTCCCATCACCCCCCTGGGAGGGTTAATAAGTAGCTCACCCAACGGGCTCTAGGGGGCCCTCCTCTCACCTCGCGAACAGCTGTGCATCCGCCGTGGCGACTCCGACCCACATCACGCGCTGCAGCACCGCCGGAGAGCTCAGCTCCCGCAGCCAGACAGCAGAGCCCTGTCAGCCGGGGAGGTAGAGGGCGGCCGGGGGCCCACATGGGGAGAAGGAAAGATGAAATACAAGGACGTGCACAGAACGCGCCAGAGGTGTCAGAACGGCAGATGTCCAAGCCTGGCGCGGGCTGATATGACGGTGTACTTTTTCAGCAGCAGGAAAGGACAGTTGCTAATTTAAACAACCTGCCATGAGACTTGCCTGGCACCGTAATGCAAGGCTGAAGAGCCTAAAAAGCTCGGACAACACACGAGCGTCGTCCACGTACAAGGCGCCCCCGCCAGCGGCGGCGCCGCAGGTCGAGTCCAAGCCGCCATCTGGGTGGTTGTCCTCCGGGCCTCGGGGCTGCAACAGCAGCGCCAGAAGCTCATTCCGGCCGCTGACCGCGGTCGCCGCGGCGGGCTGAGTGACGATTAGGTTGGCAAGAGTGCCGATGCATATTTCAAGGATTCGCAGCGCAGTTTGGACTGGGCGTTGGCGCTGCTGCTGGTCAGGTTGGCGATCATCTGGGCTTACGCTGCCGTCGCCGGCCGTTGCGAACGCCGTTGCGCCTGCAATTGCTGGTCCCACAGTCGTGTCCGATCTTTCCGCACAGACTTGCAACTGGCGTGCAATAACAACTTCGAGTGCTTCTAGGGCCCGGTTCCGGAGCATGACCCGCGCGACGGGGCGCGAGGCGCTCATATCCCATAGCAAGCAGCCCGCTTCTTCACAAGTCACGTCGTTGACGTCCTGTAGTTGGGCGGCAGCCGGAGAGTCGTGGTCCATGACATCGTCCGACACCTTTGCGGGCGGCGCGGCTTCCGCTACCAAAACGCGCAGGAGATGTATCACAGAAGCTTCCTCAATCGCCGTTTGCTCTGCGGGATCAGCCTCGTCCCCAGGGACGTACTCTGTACCGTTCTGATCCGGCGCAGAGGCTGCTGCGTCCAGCGCCATGCTGTGCCTGCGCAGGGCCGTTGAAAGTCCCATTGACGCCGCAAAGACGAAGTCAAAAATTTTCAGGCATTATCTTCCTTCTTAGCGTTTACCAACCCAAATCCCAGTATGTCGACGACGGTGTCACCTTATTGTTGAAGGTAACTTTCAAAGAAAAGATATTTGTTCCGGCTTTATGTCTTGACCTTCTGCAACTAGTATGTGAGCAGTCATGTTCAGCAAAGTGATGATAACCACGTGAAGCAGATATAAAAGCTGCTTTAGAGCACACTACCTTGTCAACCCGGTGCCACCCCGTTTGTATGCAGTCCGAGAAATCACGATGCGGGTGAAGTACAATCTGCATTATTTGAGCGATTACGTAGCAATAAGCAGCCTGTATGTCAAAGTTTCTGCTCTCAACCGCTTCCTGTCCAGCTGTCGTACTACTCTCCTCGCTGCTCTGGTGCGTTAAATTGGATGATCGTATGTTACAAGACAACCCTTGAAAACATATTTTTTTAGTTTTAAGTATGTCACAAACGTGACGTTTATCCCTCTCCAATGCTCGAACACCAACAGTTGCTCCCCCACTTTGGTTGGTCCCTAGTTGAACAATTATCGCTGAAGCAACCGTATCCTATCTGTATGTATGCTTCATCCATTTATTCATGTCGGGTTTACTTCCAGCAGGTTCGTCAAAAGGTGCAGAGATTGAAGCTAGGACATCGCCAGGGATGGCACAGGTCACATGCCACGCGCACAACCCATACCATGTCCCGTAACAAGTCATGGTACCGACCGTTTGGCGTCTTTGGAAATCCAGTCTTTGTTGGCAAATGCTCCACTGGCCTCCCTGTCCTGAAGGCTTCCTAATTTGCGCTCCTCGCGCAATTTCAGCTGTTCACATGGTCTCATGCGCGGCCGTACTTTGGATGCGCCCTGGGATTGATTACAGATCCTTGTTGACATCTCCCTCCCCCCGCCGAGACACGTATCTGAATCCTGGCCCTATATTAAGCGGGGCCAAGCGCCGCCCAAGGGGCGATATCATCTCTAGCTCCAGTTTTTGAAGGTTGTCATTTCTAATGGCTTTCATGACTCCTGGAAACTGGCAGTGATTAAAATTTGTTTCGCACGTAGATGTAGGGTTGTCCTGCTGGACGGCCAAGCTTATGATGCAATAACGGGATAACAACAACTCTTCGAAAGCCAAGCGATGACAGTTGACATCCTAGAGGTCCGTCCTAAGGAAATGAGGCAATTGTGTGTGAGAAGGGTCATAAGGCCCCTAATTTCAACTACAACGAACCAATACTATTCATCTGGGATTGTAGTTCACAAAAATTGCAAGCATTCCACATACATTTCTATGTAATATTAGGCTTGAAACATTTTCTGGGAAGGACGGGTGTGCCCTCCGAGCGTTAACACTTTGGCCGACTGTTTGTCTTCTCTTCGCAAGTGTTTGCACTCAATATGGATAAGGAATGCGTTAGCAGCTTACATCTTACCTCTATTATCAGGACTTGAAAAAGACTTCCCGAGGGTTAAGATTTGGCTCACCTCTCCAGTTGCAACGGTAGCTCGTTGAAGGTAGAAGCCACCATCACGATTGTGCCACATTATACCACTACGACATTGATGTATTTAATTTCAATCAGCTAGCGATGTATACCTCCGTCAGGGATATTGCGTGGAAATGACGTCGCACTCATGCCATGCCACGCCAGCCCTCCGTAGTTTCTACGCAACCAATTCCCGTATACCATATTGCACGCGCATTACACGTGGTTGATTTTCGTAATTCTCAAGATTGGTAATACTGGCCACAGGACAAAGTTTGGCAACCCTTTTTTGGCCTTTGACGCCCACATCTCCCCGCCTTCCCCGTCCAGGCAAACTCCGCAGAAGCCACTCCTCGCTCCTTGCTGCTTTCATATCAAAACCCTCAGCTTAGTCTGGCTTGAGGCAGAAAGTCATGCGTGACGTGAATCTGCACGCAACATGAATGACAAAAACGATCCTTTAACGCATCCTTTAACGCATCTTCTTTTTTCCCCTCGCCCTCGGCCTTGGCTTGCCCTCCATCCCGGCATCAGAGCCGCTCCACTCCTGTTTCTGTTACTGCCGCTCACGGCGCGGCGACCATATGCGATGCACTCGGCTACACCACGCTCCGCAGGAACCGCAGCCGCGGCTTTGATCTCCGCAGCAGCCCCTTCCCTCGGCATAGGGTACGCTACGCATTAAAGAGGTCGTTCGTCGTTGCCTCTGCTGTGTAATTGTCCCTGCCGGTCCACTTAGTTCTTCAGTGGATAACCTGGCCACTCAGCCAGTTCTCAGTCTACTGCATTCCTTGTTGACCCCTTTTGAGAAGAATTTTTTTATTGACAGCCGCTTTCTTCCGGTGCCTACCTTTCCCACCCCCACCCCAACCCCCACCCCGCGGTGCAGAACCAGATGGCTGGCCGCAGCAATCCGTACTCCATCTGCCGGTGACCCGCGCCGCGCGGCCTGCCAGCTCCTGTACGGCGACAAGCTGTACGGCGTCAACACTGCCTTATCCGTCACAGCCGTCGGCGCTTTCGGTAGTGGCAGCATCTTGAGGGCGTTTGGCGCCGCTGCCGCCGCCAGCTCGCCTGGCAGGGCCGCTGCAATTACTGCTGCTGCACCCGCCGCCAGCTCCGCGTCCACGGCCACGAACACAGCCGTGGCGACGGCCACGTCGCCACCGTCGCCGGTGCTGTCCTTTTCGGACCATAAGGCCGTGTTTGAGGGGCAGAGCACCTGGCAGCTGTTGCGCGCGTACGGCGTGCTACAGGCGTGCGGGTTTCAGGTGCGTGTACGGCGTGTGTGCCATGCAAAGAAGCCGCACCACATGCAGCACGCGTGGGGAAGGGAATGGGTTGAGGGGCGAGGGGGGGTCGGAGGAAACCGTCGGAACGTGTGTCGAGTGTTTTGTGTTTTGTACGTGCTGTTTGCGGCGTGAGTGCCCAATACACACCGTATGTGTTGTCATGAACCAGTGGGACATTGTTGCCGCGTCTCAGGGAAGAAACCCCTGGGGTGGAGGATTTCGCACCTCCTGCCCTTCACCTGTCCTCCAGCGCCCCCCTCCCGTCCCCTCCCCTCCCTCCCCTCCCGCCTCTCCCTCCGTCCTGCAGACCCTAGTGAATCAGGCCGAGTCGCTGCTGGCGGTGTCCAGGAAGGTTGTGGGGGGAAGGGCGACAGACGCGCTGATCAAGTCCACCTTCTTTGCGCACTTCTGTGCAGGTGGGTGTGTTGCCGTGAGGCTCTGTGGCCCTGACCTGCCACCTGCCACCTGCCACCCGCCACCTGCCACCTGCCACCTGCCACCTGCCACCTGCCACCTGCCACCTGCCACCTGCCACACCCGCCACACCCGCCACACCCGCCACACCCGCCACACCCGCCACACCCGCCACACCCGCCACACCCGCCACACCCGCCACACCCGCCACACCCGCCACACCCGCCACACCCGCCACACCCGCCACACCCGCCACCCGCCACACCCGCCACACCCGCCACCCTGTGCTGCAGGCGAGGATGTGTCCGAAGTGCAGCGAACCGTGGACCGACTGCGAGTGAGGGAGGGGGGAGAGGGGAGGGGGACGTCTTGATCGGGGGAGAGGGGACGGGAAGAGGAGGACTTGTGAGGGGCGTGGGTCGGTAGCTC